TTTGGATCCAGGTCCCTGCTAATGTGCCTGGGAAAAGCAGTGGAAGATGGCCTAAGTGTTTGGGCTTCTGCAACGCCTGGTAGGAGTAGGGGAGACCTGGAGGATGCTCCTGGCTTTGTCCTGACCGAGCCTTGGCCATTGGGAAGTGAACCAGCAGGTGGAAGTTCTCTCCCTCTCTCTGTAACTCATAAACAAATAAACCTTTTTTTTTTATGTGGAAGTAGGAGATAAACTTATCTCAAGTTTAAAATCCATGTATTTGAGGGGTCTTCAAGTTTCATGAAAAATCTTTATTATGGAAAAAATTATGCATGGATTTTTTTTTTTTTTTTTGACAGGCAGAGTGGACAGTGAGAGAGAGACAGAGAGAAAGGTCTTCCTTTGCCGTTGGTTCACCCTCCAATGGCTGCCACGGCCGGCGCGCTGCAGCCTGCGCACCGCGCTGATCCGAAGGCAGGAGCCAGGTACTTATCCTGGTCTCCCATGGGGTGCAGGGCCCAAGCACCTGGGCCATCCTCCACTGCACTCCCTGGCCACAGCAGAGAGCCGGCCTGGAAGAGGGGCAGCCAGGACAGAATCTGGTGCCCCGACCAGGACTAGAACCCGGTGTGCCAGCACTGCAAGGCGGAGGATTAGCCTAGTGAGCCGCGGCGCCGGCTGGATTTAAATATTTCTATAATTTTTATTTTTATTCATTTATTTGAAAGGAAGAATGGGGATAAAGGGAGAGATGGAGAGAGACAGAGACAGAAATTGAGATCTTCCATCTGCTGGTTTACCCCCTAAATGCCTGCAACAGCTGGGGCTGGGCCAGGCCATAGCCAGGAGCCAGGCACTCCATCCGAGTCTCCCACATGGGTGGCAGGGACCCAAGTCTCGGGCCATTGTCTGCTGCCCCCCAGATGCATGAACAGAAAGCTGAGTCAGAAGCAGAGTAACTGGGACTCGAACTGGCACTCTGAGATTGTATCCAAAGTGGCTTAACCGGCTGAGCCACATACACCCCCCCAAAGTTTTACCAAATTTATTTTTTATTTATTTAAGAGAGAGAGAGAGAGACCTTTCATCCACTGGTTCACTCCCCAGATGCCTACAATCAGGGGCTGGAGCAGGTGGAAGCCATGAGATAGGAACTCCATGCAGGTCTCCCATGTGAGTATCAGGAACCCAAGTACTTGAGCCAAGACCTACTGCCTCCCAGGGTGCTCATGGGCAGGAAGCTGGAGTTGGGAGTGAAGCTGGGACTCAAACCCAGGAAATCAGCTACAGGCTGCTGGCATCCCAAGTGGCATCCAAACAGCCGTGCCAAAATCCTGTCCCTCAAAAATGTTTTGCACCAAAATAAACTTATCTTCTAATCTCTCCAAGGTACCTACCTTGGAGAGCTACCATACAGACAGGTTCAACAAGACAATGCAAATGCCTAGTACCCAATAATAACAGGCACTCCACAGATAGCCCCCGAGCTAGGATGCCTGTGACTGCCCACTCTGCTGCTCCTCCCCAGCCCGGGTTTGGCTCCCCTCTTGTGGAACCCAGTGTCTCTGACTCCTTGCTAATGTAGATGCTGCCCGTCTCCCCTTGGCCTCCAGCCCTAACAGGCAGCCAGGAATCTCATCCTCAGACCTCATCCCAGCAGGGGGATCCTGCCTGCACCTCCCGCCTCTCCCCTCTGGCCTCCTTCCACTCTCCAGCCTCCCCTGTAGCGGTTCCCTGCTCCTGTGGGCAGGCCAGGCTGCACACTCAGGTCTTTCCCACTCGGGCACCTCTGCACAGACTCCCTCCCACCTCCCACACGTCCAGCCAAAGTAGCAGAAGATAGTAAAGTGCGTCCTGGATTTGGACCAGGCTGCCTGGCGCAAGTTCTGAGTTCTGCCTGCCACCGTCTAGTTTTGGGAGAGCCAGTCTCCCCTGTATCGCAGGGAAATAATCTCCCACCCACGAGGTTGTTTTGTGGGCCAGTTTGAGGCTGGATGTGAAAACAGAACAATTGGAAAGGTTGTGAAAGTGGAGGTTATTCACGGAGCCTTGTCCTGCTTTGTCTTTTTTATTCCCATAGCACTTATCACCTTTCAGCAAACTGTAATTTTGTCTTTTGGGCACTCTCTCCCTCCACAAGCATAAGGCCTCCATGGTGGGAGGGATTTTTGTCCATCTTAGTCACTGCTGTACCCCTAGTCCCTAGAGCTATATCCGGTACTTAGTATGCAAAGGAGCAAATTCTCTCTATGTGTCAGGCATTCGGCAAAGCCCTCAAGCCTTCCTTCTCCAAGAGGCCTTCCTTCCAGTGCTTAGTTGGTTATCACAGCATCCCCATTTTATAGATGGGAAAACTGAGGTCAGAAGAAATAGCTTTCTCCAAACCACTCACCTGAAAAGTAGCAGGACTTCTTCGCAGCTGCACGTATGCAGCTGAGAAACACTAAGCACCTCCTGTGGGCCAGAAACTAGGCCAGATGTTAGGGACGCAAATGACCAAGACTTGGTCCGGCCGGTCTCTCATTGCACTTTCTGGAGGGGGAGGAGTCGCAGAGGGAGGCCAGGACGCTTTAAGAACACAGGGGAGTTACCCCACCCCCATCCCCAAGGTCATGGGTGCACAAACCACCCCTTGGATCCGACCACTACATACTTTGATTCCACTCATTAATGCCCCACCTCCCAAGCTTCCGGGATCCTTTTGGGAGTTCTTGTCCAGTCCTGTATTCTACGCTGCTCTTTAACCACTCGAGCTTGCCAGGTTTTCTTCTCCCTCCGTGTCCTCCATCAATAGGAGGCCTGTGTGAGGCAAGGTTTTGCTGGTCCCCTGTGGCATGGTGTGCAGAATCTGCCTATGCAGTTCAACCTCCCCTCCTCCCGCCTTGGTGGCCCCTCTGCCCCCATTACAGATGAGCAGGCTGAGGCCCAGAGAATTCAGTAGCAGGTGAAGCAGTGCACAGCAAGCGAGAGGCTGGGCTTGGAACCTGGTCACCACCCAGCCACGACTCCCTCCCATCCTCACCCCCGTCCCGTCTGGCATTTCCGGGATCGGTGGGCTGTGCCCTGCTAAGGCATTTTGGGGTCCAGCGTTAGGGATGCAGCCCCCTTTGAAGTTCAGATTTAGGAACGGGGCCACTGGCGATGGTGGAGACTCTCTGGAAAGAGCTCTGGGGTAAAAACTTGGGGTGACAGCCTCTTCCTTTCTCCTGCACTTTTTCCCGAAGAAGGGGAAGTCTAGGATAGGAGGGGTTAAGTGTGGTTTTGCCTCCCCAGCCAGGAGGGAAAGCCGATCCAGGCAAGGCGAGTGTGGGGGGCTCGGTGCCCGGGAGGGGGCTGAGGCAGTAGGAGCAGCACAAGCCCAGGCCCTCACATCTCACTGCTCCCCACCCTGGCCCTCTGGTTCAGGCACACAGGAGAAGTAGAACAAGACTTCTTGCTTTGTCTGGGAAGCCCTGGGTGGGGGCCACGCCCTCAGGGAAGAGGCCAGCAGGGCAGGAATGCCTCATCCCGGGTCCCCTCACCTGCCTGTGGGTATCCTGGGTGCTCACGACACTGCCCTTCGCTCACCCTCAGAGAGGTGAGAATCTAAGCTTTGGCTCCCCGGGGCCCCTCCCTGAACAGTGGAGTCCCTGCCTCAACTCCACTCCCACCCTTTCCTTTTGTGCGCTCCCAGGTCTGGACCCAGAGCCGAGGAGGCCCTGTCCAGCCCTGCTTCCCTTGTTTATGGCAGTGGCCTGATGTCCTGGAGTTGTAGCATTAGCAACGTAATTCAATTTCCCAGGTTCCTCATCAGAATAAGCTGTAGGCGGCACGGGGGCAGGAAGCTCCATACTGAGGAGGAGGTGCTGGGGCTGGGCTGGCCCTGGAGGAGCGGGGTGGAAGGCTGATCTCAGGGGGCTTTGGGTGAGGCCTGAGGATGGCGCCCGAGGGCCTGTGCTAGGGAAGACTGGGGACCTGGGTGACACGGTCTCCCCAGACAGCCCTGGCCGGAGGGAAGTGGCAACCCAGTGCCAGCCTTTGGGGCCAGCCAGGCTTGGGGTGGGGGGTGTCTTTACTCTTCCTGCCCTCCACTGTCCCCTTTCTGCCTGCGACTAAGATGGGAAGCCAAGATGGAGAGCCAGCCCCTGGCCCTGCTCCCCCTTTCAGGCCTCTCGGGGAACCACAAAAATCTAGGACCTGGTGTCTTGGCAACGCGATGAGCGCACGCACGCACAGCTCTGCTATCTGTTTTAGATTATCCAGTAAAATAAGTACAGTTCTGGAGCTGGCTGGGTGGGGAGGAACCCAGGCAGCCTCATTTTCCAATTGCTTGGTTCCAAAGGAGGGGGCCAGGAGACAGGCGGGGCAGTGCCTGGGTCCTATTCTTGGCTTTCTCTTGGGGCTGCAGCTTGTTGCTTGGGTCTAAGATCCAATGCTTGTATTTGGAAGACAAAAACAAGCGAAAAAGGGGATCCCTGCCCCCAAACTGAGGGTATGGGGGAACACAGGTTCCAGAACTTTGCAGCCTCCCCCCTCCCGGACACAAGCAATCCTTCCACCCCACCGCACCCCATCCCCTGGCATCCTGAGATATAGCTTTGAATGGGCTGCCCACGTGCGCAGGGGGGTTGGGGGTGACTCACTGTTACTATGGGGAGGGGAGGGGGAGCCAGCGGTGGAAGGAGGGTGAGTCACCCTCAGGAAGGAGGGCACCAACCTCAGCCCTCCCCCACTCTCCTGGCTCCCCAGTCCTGCCTGCTCGACCCCTCCTCCACTCCCCTTTGCCCACCCACTCTCTCCCCTGGGCTCTGCCCTCTGTCCCAGAAGGCCTGAGGCCGTGGGGGCAAGCTTGGAGCTGAGAGCGCTGGGCAGGCAGGAACCAAGACGGGGGAAGCGTCAGCAAAGCCCCAAGCACCCGGCGTGCGCTGGGCAGGGTGGGGCCCGACTCCGCAGCTGCCCGGGTCCCTCCTCCCCACTCCTAAGCCCCGACCCCTTGGGTATGCGACGGCCCCTTTAAGAGCAGCGGCCCCGCCTCCCCATAGAGGAGGACCTATTAGAGCCTCGGCCCCGGCGCCGGTGACTCAGTGTTCGCGGGAGCGCCGCAGCCACGCCAGCCAACCCGGCTCCCGAGGTCTGACAGCGCCCGGCCCCGATCTGCGCGCCTGCCAGGAGCGAGCCGCGACCAGCCGGCCGGCGCGCTCCGCCCCTGAGAAGCCTCCGTCCTCCGCTCCGAGCTCCGCGCCCTTCCCGGGACCCCTGCCCTGCGGGCAGCCTTGCCACCCTGCCGGCCATGGAGACCCCGTCCCAGCGGCGCGCCACCCGCAGCGGGGCGCAGGCCAGCTCCACCCCGCTGTCGCCCACCCGCATCACCCGGCTGCAGGAGAAGGAGGACCTGCAGGAGCTCAATGACCGCTTGGCCGTCTACATCGACCGTGTGCGCTCGCTGGAGACGGAGAACGCGGGGCTGCGCCTTCGCATCACCGAGTCGGAAGAGGTGGTCAGCCGCGAGGTGTCCGGCATCAAGGCCGCCTACGAGGCGGAGCTCGGGGATGCCCGCAAGACCCTCGACTCTGTGGCCAAGGAGCGCGCCCGCCTGCAGCTGGAGCTGAGCAAAGTGCGCGAGGAGTTTAAGGAGCTCAAAGCGCGGTGAGTGAGCGCAGGTGGCGCGTGCAGGGACCCCTGGCCGGCTCCGGGAAAGGAGTGGGAGCGGGAGGGCCCGGGAGGCCGGTAACTTCGCCATGGAGTCTCCTCCCTCCCCGGAACTGCCCCCGGCGGGGGCGACTGGCGGTGCCAAGGGGAACTGTCAGGACGGGGCAGAGAGGGGAGGGTCTTCGAGAGAGGGCGGCGGCTCTAAGGAGTAGTAGGGGCCAGTGGCAGGCCCGCGTTCTGGCGGGGTGGGAGTTGCCAGCCATTTGGAGGCTAGCACAAGGGCTTGAGCAAAGCCGACTGGCCCTGCCGGATCTAAGCCCTTTGGCCCCAGGCACCCAGGACACGTTGGAGTGGGTGAAGGGGTCCTATTAGAACTTTCTTGGCAGGCTTGGCTCTGTGCCAGCTTTGCCCAGGCTGGCTCTGAACGCAGGAGCCCCTATAGGACAGGGCTCCCAAGCTGGCATCCATCCAGGGGTGCGAGAGAGGTCATCAGAGCCCCCCCTTACCACTCCCAGGGCGTGGTGGTGGCTCCCCAGGCCCTCCCTTTGCCTGAGTTCTTTCTCCCTCACTCCCTGCACCTCCCAGACCGGGCCCACCAAAACAGCTCCAGGAGACTGGCTCCCCCGCAGCTCCCACAGCCCTTGGCCTGCTTGGCCCAGGAATGCAAGGGAGGGAGGGAGACAGGGCAGAGGCTCCTGGCTCAGGAAGTTGTGTTATGGCCAGAGCTGGAGGCAACCCTCCTCACCCCCCCACCCCTTGGCCCTCCACCTGATGTCTTTGAGGGCTGGGGGCTCCGTCCTTCCCTCCCCCGCTCTGGGTGAGCCACTTTCATTTTCCCAGCCAGGCCAGAGCAGTCTTTGCCCTGGCCCATCCTTCCGCCGCTGACGTTTTGATGTGCGCCTTATTAAACTGCTGGAATACAGTGACATTTTTGAAATCCGGCCGTTGGAAGGTTCAGGCCCCTCCCACTTCACCCATCCCTGCCCCACCCCACCCCACCCTACACAACTCCACCTTCCCTTCTAACAAGGCCTTCGGAAGTCTGGAGGTTAGGGCCCTCTTCTTCCAGCCTCCCCCACCCCAGAATTTGGTTTCTTCTCCTCTCTCCCCTTTCCTGTGAAGGCCCCGGCCAAAGAGCTCTTACAGGTGCTTGGAGATCCCCCGGGCGCTGGTGCCTCTGACCTCACCTCCTTCGCTCCCTTTGCATTTTTCTGCTCCAGGCTCATAACTCTTCCCGGAACCACCGGATGTTTTCTGTGGCCCTTCTGCCCTCTGCTAGCCCCCAGCCCCATGTGTGAGAGACCCATGGCCTTCCCGAAGTTATGTGTGTGTGTGTGTGTGTGTGTGTGTGTGTGTGTTGGGGGGGGGGCTGGTTCAACCTTGACGTCTGTTGAAAGAGATCACCTGTCTTTTTCCACTAGTGATACGAGCAACTTAGCAAGGCAGATAGGAGGCAAGCTAGGGGAGCCACAGTGGATTAGTTCTAAACTATTCTGCTGAATTTCCAAAGCCAACCCCCCCTCCTCCCCCAGGGATCCTATGAAGGGAGCTGGGGGAACATTGATTGGAGAGGAGTCTGTAGTTTCTTGTTCCCCACCGCCGCACGGGTCTGTCTCCTCGGCCTCCCGGTGCAGCTGTCCAGGCCTGGGACACCGGGCGGGGGTGGTGTGCCTCCTTGTTATATTTAGCCACCTGCCTGTCTTCTCCCCCACTGATCCTGACCAGGCAAGGCTGAGCTTCCGGAAGAGGGAGTAGGTTTGCACACCTGGATCCCAGGTTGACGGCAGGTGGGGTGGGGGCAGAGGGGCTCGAACTGGGGTGTCTCTTCCCTTCTATGTCCACGTTAGGAGGTGGGATTGGTGGCTTCCTTTTGTATCTGCTCAGCTCAGGGTAAGGGAGAAGTGCCCAGAATGAAGAGTTTGGGAGAGGAAGAAAGGCAGTGCCCCAACCCCTCCCATCACCAAAGAGAGGTGTCCTCTGGTTTAATGTTTAATTAGAGCTCAGAGTTCATGGCCAGACTTGAGGTGAGATACAGGGCTATCTGTAAGACCCTGTGGCAACTTTTGGCCCTGCCTGGGGAACTTGGCCACACCCAGGGGTACACACACACACACACACACCTTCCCTTTCTATTCTGGAGCCCAGGGATTAGGACACCTAAGTGCTGGAGAATGGGCAGGTTGAAAGCTCCAGAGAGGGTTGCCTGGGGTCCCGGCTGGGAGCTGGGCCCCACCCCAGGCAGGACAGCTGGGTGGATGACTCAGGGCTTGCCCCCCTCCCTACCACCCTGGTGACTACAAAAGACAGCAGGAGACAGGGTGGGGCCGCAGATGTCTTAAAGGGGGGAATGGTCTGTATCTTCCCTCTGCTCTGGTCTGGGGTCCCTCTTCTGCCTCTTTGCCTACAGCTGCTGCTGCTGTCCGGAACCAGGGCTGTGGATAGGCAATATGCACAGGGAATCAGAATGTGGAGTTGTGTCCAAAGTTATGGGTTTGGGCTGCGGGATGGCGCCATGGTCTGCGCCTTCCCAGGCGGAACTGTTGGGGGAAGGCTGAGTCAGACGTGGGGAGATCCCAAGCCCACAAAGCAGAAGCGCCTCTTCCCCCAGGGAGGCCCTCGTGCTTGACGACTTCCTGGATTGCCTCGTGCAGCTCCAGTGCAGACAGGCAGGGAGGTAGCTGCAGGCTCAGGTTCATGCAGACTCTGCTCAGGACGAAGACGGCAAAGGTCGCCAGGTGTCATCTCACACAGCAAGGGGGTGGCAGCGGGGGGACCCCTGGCCTCCCGCTGGCTGCTCCTCTGGGCTCACGCTCACTGCAGCCTGAAGACTGTGCTCTGGGCCGGTGGGGCTCTGCTGCTGTCCTGCCAGGGCCTGCTAACACTTGCTCAGTAGGCTTTGCCCAGTCGGTACCTGGAAAGCCCTAGGATCCTCCAGGCCTTAGATCATGAGACACGCATGGAGCTCTGGAAGGCTGGTGATTGGTGTCTTGAGACTGTCTTGGGACTTGTCCTGAGAATTATCTGCCTAAATCAGAAAAAGGCTAAAAGGCTGTGCCCTTTGGCAGTCGTTAGACAAATGAGGGTGGGGGCCCGGGGGAGGCCGACTGGGGTCTGAAAGTGCCTCCTGGTGCTTGCTCTGTGTCCCCCTTCCCCCCCCTCAAGGTGCACATTCTGATTGAAAGGGAAAGAAGGTGCAGCTCCTGCTGGGGGCTGGGCAAGGCTTCGGGAGCCTAGGAGAAAGAAAAGGGAGAGCAAGTCCGCCTTAGGTGCCCCATGGCCCTCCCCTGGCCTCCAGGAGCCAGAGACTGACTCTTGGCATGGGATGTGCCCATTGTCCCCACTCCCAGTCCCACCCCCAGTGACTCGGTAGCTCCGTGTCAGGGCTGAAGCCAGGGACAGCTGGGAGGACAACTGCTAGGAGATGCCTGCAGCTACCAACTGTGCCCTCCGCTCGCCTCCCACTCGCCCCCCGCTCCTTTGGCCCCTTACTGTCTCTAGCAGCTGCGGCAGCCAAGATCAAGTCTGGCTCAGAGGCCGGGACACTAGGGAACATTATCTCCTCCTTACCTCCTTGGGCTCCCAGTGCACTGCAGGGGACACAGCCCAGCGCTAAGATTCTTGGAGATGTCCCGGCAGGTCGCAGGGTCCCACAGCCCTTTCAATCAGTGTGAGGTGGTGGATGCAGCCCTGGCCCTCGGTGTCCTGCTACTGCATTTCTGTGTGACCTTGAACAAGTCTCCCTCCCTCTCTGGGTCTTCTTAGCTGTCATGACAGGGATTCGAGCAGGGGATCTGCAGAGATCCCTTAGGTTCCAGAGTAGTGGTGACTGGAGTGAGAAAACCGCCCTCAAAAATACCAAGCTATTAATAGTCAAATCAAAGATAGCCAAGGTGAATACAATTACTCCCCAGTGCTATTCTCAGTAGAACTACTTCCCATAAGCCATGGAGTTCAGAATACGCACATTCTTCTCTACGTCCCAAAGGAAGGTTGTTGGAAGTGGCTAATCGCTGGGGCATTGCCCCTGTGGCTCGTGTGTGTTCACTGCTAGGGCACTGCCAGTGCCTTCCTTCGCGGGACAGTGGAAAGCACTGGATCAGGTGGCAGGAAAGGGAGAGTCGGCACAGAATGGCTCCCGCTCACCTATGTTGGGGGTTGGGGGGGAGACCCGAGGGAAAGCGGGGTTGTCCCCTTACAGCCCTCCGGGATCAGACCGCACATGCCTGGAGCCGCAGGGAGGCGCGTGGTGACCTTGGGCTGCGCCACTTCCGCCCTTCCTGTACCCACGCCGACTTCCCCTACCTGAGGCTGCGCTGTGAGGAGTCTTGGGCCCTTAGCAGTCCCTTAAGGCAGGGGGACAGAGCTAGGGAAGGAGTGGGGGGGGGCTCCCTGCCCCACTGTAGTTGTGGGAGAGGAAGCCGGAATCCCGCCTGCCGAAAGCCAGGAATAATTCTGGCTGGGATCCCGGGCCCAGCAGGGGCGCTGAGTCACCGCAGAGGGCAGGGTGGAGAGTGGACAGGAGACCCTAAGTTTGTTCCGTCAAGAAAGAAAGGGCTTTTCTTGAGGAGTGCATTCGAATTGCAGCAAAAGAGGCAAGGGTGGTGTGGACAAAGGGCAGGGCAGCAGGGTGCAGGGTCCCCTTTGGGCTGGCTCAGGGCAGTAAAAGTCTCCCTTTCAAGGGGTCTGGCTCCTGGGCGACCCCGAGGCTATCTGGGAGCTCTGCCGGCTGGGAGGGAGACTTCCAAGGAGAGCTGGAATGCTGTGAGACCAGAACATGCAGGTCACCCCCCACACACACCCGCCTCTCCTGACCTGGGTGTGGTTTCCACCCTCACCAGTGCCAGCAGGGTTAACAGCTCTGCGCCAGGAGATGGAAGGTTAATAAGCTGCCTTCTGTGGGGATCCCCGACTGTCCCTCCCTCTGGCCCATGGCCGCGCCCCACCCCCAAGGGCTACCTTCTTGGGCTATCCCTCTCACCCTGCTTTATTAAGTCTGT